ACAATAAGTTGACAACCAGGACTGATAACGATATTGCGATATATATATATATATATAACATCGCAGTTACCGCACGTGATGCTAAATGCACAGGAGTAGCCCCGAAAAATGAACCAGTGGAGAAAAAGAACCGACTGGAAGTCCCTATTAGAAATGGATGGTAAACAAATGGTAAAAGACAGTATCCCACCCCAAATGATCTCAAAAGCAAAGAAGCCACGTGTGGAGGGAAAACTGATAATGGCAAACACCCCAACAAGGAAGGAAGTAGGAAGATGTATTCCACGAACATCCCCTAGATATAGGTGTAACGCCTAAGAAAGGAGGTGTAAGGTAGACATTCCCTGTATGAGAGTTGATAGGGTAAGACGAAGCTGGTAAACTGGATGGAGGATAAAATGGATAGGAGTAACAGAGAAAAAGAGATACTATGTACATAGAATCAAGAATAAAATCTGCCTGATGGTAAGCTAAGGTATACTGAACCAAAGCCTGTGGAGGGGAGGTATGCAAGTACCCCCCCCCCCCCCAAAAAAAAGAGACAAAAATGCTCATCATGAAGCATAATGTCTGGAGAAGGAGGGTGAAAGTATAATATGAAACATGTCTAAAAAGAGGCTGAGGTAGACCTAGCAGATTTCGCAGTAGAGGCTTGGGAAGACAAGCCATAATCAGGTGGAGGAAAACTAACAAAATCTATGTCATCCTAAACGGGTATGGCAGAAGTCGAGCAATATCGGGAAAACGTAGGTCTGCTCCCGGCTCACTGGGGTCTTCACAAACTAAATTGATTGTAAGAAGTATAAATTATCAAGAATTACGAAAATGAAATAGTCGATATAATGTAAATTTAAGTAAGTGTGTAGTAAAATAAGCACATGTATAAGATGTTGTATGTTGAAGAAAAGACATTTAACCCAATTATCAATTTATCCGTACGATGAACTACAGGTAAACTGAAAATAAAACACTTGTTAAGCCTAATCGAACTGTGCAGGGCAACGTATATCACTAAGATCAAATTAAAAAAACCCTAACCTAACAATAATACGTACAACATCGGTAGAAATTTGTGTGGACCCCAACTCCAGGGGTACACACAAACAAAGTTAATATGACGAAGTATAAAAGATAAATAATAACGAAAATGAAATAGACATTATATTGTAAAATTAAGTAAGTGTGTATTGACAATAACATATGTAAGTGATGTGATGTTTTGAAGAAAAACAATATAGCTAACCTAATTTACGATATACCAGCCTAAAATAACTTAGACCCATGTTAAGCCAAAGCTAACGTTATAGGACAAAAGATACAACTAAGCTCTAACCTCAAACCTGAATGTAACTGAGTATTGACCAATCTAACTAAACTTATAAACAATAAAAATATTCAAAAACTATAACAGTATAACGCATTATCTTTCCAAAGTAAACTGCCTCGACTAAGGTCAGCTCATTGGACGATCAATCTCCCGAAGTAAAGCCGATAATTCTCTAGACAAGGACGACTCCTGAAGCCCGTATAAATGTTCTGAGAGAAGATACAACCTCCGAAGTGGTAACTTGAAATTCATATTCAAAATGACATGTGATGAAGTATTAAGTTCCCTAATTGGGTAGAAACATAAAATAATTCCACTTCGAAATAAGTTATAAATATCACTGTTGTATAATTGATAGGAAGATACCGAAAAAAATAAACACTTGGAGATCACAAACTAAACGTTTGAATACAAGCACTGTCAAACGAAAATAGTTAGGTAGAATAGCATAGAGAGAGAGAGTAACGTGGGTGTGTGGCACTACTACTGTGCATGATAATTTGCATGCGAGAATCAGTTAAACCATGTGAATGGAAGGGTGCTTGGAAGTGAAAGTCTCGTGGCAAGTGAAAAGTTTTTGCTAATAGAGGGCAGCACTGAACGACAATACCTACGTATGTGAGCAGAAGTAAGGTACCTTGTCAGAAATCGTTTTTATATAAGTGACACGTTCCTTATACAGGTGACATCTTTTTTTTATAGAAGTGACACCTTCTTTGTACAGGTGACATCTTTTTTATATAAGTGACACGTTCCTTGTACAGGTGACATCTTTTTTATATAAGTGACACGTTCCTTGTACAGGTGACATCTTTTTTTATATAAGTGACACGTTCCTTATACAGGTGACTCCTACTATAAGCTTTATAATACAAACTACACGTGATAACACTTGATTTATTCGTATAAGAGTATAGGGGGCAACGCGTATGACACAAAGTTTACAGTTGTATGGTAAATGATTTCGTATTGCTTTTCATCATTAATTTATAAAATACATCTTTATGATATTTTGAATATGAGGAGATAGTAAATAGGCATTATTGTGGACTCTGCAGGATATAACTTTTATGTTAAATGGTAACTAGTATGGTTCTAAAGTACAAGTAACATTGTTAAAACTGACATTTCATACACTGTAATTAATATGAGTATTTAAAGTTCTCTTTTAACAAAACTTTCCCCATTCATTGAGAAGTCTTTCACTTAGATGAAATCAAGCACTTCTTCCAGAAAATCATATATTTACTCTGTCAGAGATCTTCCAACACAATAAGAATAGTTTAAAAACCTTTTAATATTAGTTATGACTTGCATTTATTTAAATTTTCAAAAAAATCTAATAAAAGTGAAAGGTTAGAGATGGAACTATCTACCATAAGCAGTAGATTATGGGAACATAATGCCAGTGATTAGCAAGTGCTGAAAGTAACATCTACTTCAGATTATTGAACAAAACAAAATTGTCAAGACAATTACAAAAAAGAATCACATGGTTCTTCAGTATTTCTGAATTGTACTATATTTTATTTACACCTTTTGAAAGACTAACTGATTCATCAATACACTTTAATTTTTCTGTAAAATAAGAGCATTGTGTATTTTTCTGATCAATCCAACAAGTCACTATCAATCTAAGGCCTCAAATAGTTTCCTAAATAAAACATTAATATGAGCACACAAAACTGAATTGCAAAATAAAATTAGCTTTTTTAAAATCAGGGCACTGCCCTAAAAAAGATTATTAGGCATAGAGCACTACCAAAACAAGTAGTTGTTTTAAGTCTGTGCCCCATTTTCAATAAAACTAATTTTATTGTGCAACAATTCAACATTATACGTTTGTAGTTTGTAATATTTTAAATGTGAGTAAGGGCTGTTTAACATTTTATTTTCCACATCTATGTACATCTTTTAGATTCTTAACTTGTACCTTTCATACAATTTATGTACATTTTTGAGGGAAGAAAGTTCATTATATTACATATGTAGAAGAAAAATATCTCTCTAAATTTTGAAATAAATAAATAAAACCCTGGATGAAATTGTTTATAAATTCAAAATTGCTATTGCATGCAAAAAAAAAAGACCAAAATTAAAACAAAATATTCCTAGATATTTTAACAGTGAGAAAACTTAATTTTACACATATTCTTGACAAATTCCAGGACTATCTGTATAATGGCATAGGCATCCTCACTGTAGGAGGAGCTTGGTATGAAAGTGGGATAGGAGCCACTGAGCCATAATATGGCTGTGTCATAGATGGACCTGGATAAAATGTTTGAACAGGTGGAGATCTGTTAGGCATACTGATTGAGAGTGGTGATTGATATTGACTAGAAGGAAGCATGCTATTGCTCAGGTTTCTCTTTTGTGCAAGAAGCTCAGCCATTTTCTCTGCTTTTACTCTACGCAAATGTGCAACTTTTCGTTTCTCCAGGTATTTTTCAATGAAATCTTCAATGGGTATATCTCCATTCAACAGTCTGTCTGCCATTTCCTGAAAAGAAAAAAGTGATATTCATTTCTGGATTCCAAGAAATAATATTTTTTTTCATTAAATGTTAACTTCAATATTAAACTAATAAAAACTTAGAACATTCTTGGTTCTTTGTGGATAGGAATAGCTGCAGCTGTAAACCAATCATCAACTTATTTTCCCAATATGAAAGTTTCATTTAAATCACAATACAATAAACATCCAGCAGATTTTCAAATAAAGCAAGGATACATGAATCTACTTAATCATCCAAGATTTTTAGAACCTTTTATATAATACTTTGCACACACTTAGTTTATAGCTTTAATCATGAGATTTTACTACTGTAAGTATGTTAGTTTGTATACAGTTAGCCTACAGGTTTAATGGTGTGGGATTTTTAGTAATGCAACTATAAGTTTGTATACAGTTAGTTCACATTTTAGGGAATCTGGATTCCTGTGTAATTTTAGTTATAAAAGGAAACTTGAATGTAAGTCTTAATCTTATCATGTCACTTGGACAACTGAACTCCTTGGTTTTTAGGAATTCCTCTGTTTTGTGATAACTTTCTTTATTTTTAATGCTGTATATTCAACAAGTCTCTCTCTCCTCCTTCAATTATTCTATTTACCTTAAATTTATTTTTATATTAATTATAATTTGTTCTGATAAGCTGAAAATATACTACGTGGTTCTAAAGCAGCCCAGAATGTGAAACTCGCCAATATACTGACAAGTAGATCCAATAACACAACTAAACACACCAGCTACCAGCTCAGATAATAAAAACTTGACAATATACTAACATGTAAATCTGATATCACAAATAAACATACCAGCCAGAACATAAAATTCAACAATACAGTGACAAATAAAACTGACAGCACAACTAAACAACACACCAGCCAGGAACACAAGATTCAACAACATATTGACAAGTAAATAATTGACAAAAGACCAAACTAACTGATAACAGAAAATATCATATACAGTTGTGTACATGCAAGGTAGAAATTAAAGAGAAATAGTACTATGTATCAGAAGCTGATATGCTTAGATATTCTACCAACATGGTGCAAGTAATTTGATTACGCATGTATTATTCATACGCAGAATCGATTCCACAAAAAATCCCAGGCTGCATTTGGCACACAATAAACGAGAGAGGAAAAAGTAAAAAAGAATAAAAAAAAGGTCCAAATCTTAACACAACAGAATAACTGATGGTTACAGTAGAGGTAAATATCTTGGTAGTGTTTTCTTCCATATCTCTCCTATCAAACATATTTACATACATATAAACAAAGAATAAACATGGAGTAGGTTGCCCAACATCTTATTTGCACTGTCCCTTAAGAGTGACAGATCATAAAGTTGAAAGGGAATAACATCTACATAAAACTTAAATGTTTGCATGTGACCCTTTTTTTGCTGAAGAATGTTTTATTAACTTTAGGATTCATATATATATATATTTTAGTTAGAAAGTTTTTAAACATCCTACATATTTCTATGATCCATTACCATGCAAATTTCTTAGAATCAGAACATCAGTGTCACTTATTTAAGTTTTTTCTCCTTTAAAAGACTAACTGATCTACTGATTCAATGCACAGAAGAAATATAAAGGCCCCTGAGGGTAACATAGGGGTACGTGTCACATCTTAACCCCCCCCCCCCCGTCTTTCTCAAGGGGTCCCTAAGGGTACATTCCAGGTTTGATGACAAATGATAAAACAGTTTGCCATGTATAAGCAGACACACACACAAACTTATGTCAAATAATGTTTTAGTTCAATGTTTCTCAACCACTTGTCCATCACAACGACCTTGCTGGTTCGTGGGATTTCACTTAAACAAACAAACAAAAACTGACAGAATATTTGTATGTCATTCATAATGGTTTTTCCTTGTACATGCATTTACTGGTCCACAACAGTTTATGAAAGCAGGTGTCTGGTTCCTGGTATCAAAAAGGTTGAGAAACTGGTTTAAATAACTGAAATTTCAAGATTAACTAAACACCATTCTATATATACATTATTTTGGCAAACTTCACTCATATGTCAAACTAAGTATATTTAACCTTTGACCATAAACTTACTTCAGTCTCCTCTTCTGATTGGGCAGCCGAAGTCTGAAGCATGGATAGAATTGTGTCTAGTGAAACCTGCTGTCCATTTTCATCTAAGGTAACATAGCAAAAGGTAAAATGTTTACATGTAATACCTATAGTAAGAATAAGTAGTAATCTCTATTTTTTTATACCAATAACACTTACAGTACCAAATTCCACATTTATATGGTAGTAACACCTACAGTAAGAATAAGTAATAAGATCTCACATTTATATACCAATAACACTTACAATACCAAATTCCACATTTATATGGTAGTAACACCTACAGTAAGAATAAGTAATAAGATCTCACATTTATATATCAATAACACTTACAGTACCAGATTCAACACTTATATGGCAGTAACACCTACAGTAAGAATAAGTAATAAGATTTCACGTTTATATGTCAATAACACTTACAGTAAGAATAAGTAATAAGATTCCATGTTTATATGTCAATAACACTTACAGAAGAATAAGTAATAGGCTCCCTGTTTATATGTAGCACCTACAGTACAAATAACTAACAGGTTCTACATTTATATATAGCTTCTCCTTTATGGATAATATACATAGTTTGATACATTGATGAAATTGTGTGTAATGAAATGAAACATTCCGTAGATAAACCATAATGACGGGTTACTGTAGATTCAAAGATATATATATATGTGTGTGTGAATTTTATATATTAATTTAAAAGCTGGAGTCACTTATTCTTATTATAGGTGTTACTGACATATAGACATGGAGTTGGTCACTTACTCTTACTTTGATACCTTTCTACCATAGTTTGTTTCAAACTTTTTCATTGTTCTTCAACATGAAACAGACTTAGACGATGAATTTTAAATATCACAGCATTTAGGTTTGTTGTGAAAGGAGATGCAACAAAAAAACTTAACACTGACAAACTTATTGTGATAAAGTTCTAAATAATACTTCCCAACTCTTTTCAAGGTTATATTACCCCATAAAGTATGAGAGTGAGAAAAAGTGCAATGTATAGTGTTTTATGGAAATGTGTATCAATAACACATACTGGTTGAACTGAAACTTTATTTTACTGAAGTGTGTGCTAATAAAACATACAAGTTGAACTAAGTCTGTTGGAATAAAATGTCTGCTAGGAACACAAAACAGTTGAACTGAAAGTCTGTTATTTTACCAAAATATCTGTCAAACACACAGACCAGTTGAAAGAATGTGTTTAAACTTACTGTCATTATTGCTTTCAAAAATGAAGTTAAGGAGATAAAGATGTTACTGAGACATATTTTTAATGGTTTAAAAGTTAAAACAAAGAATATCCTGATCTGGCATTTTCTGATCAATTGAATAACACAATATAATAATATTATTGAACATAGAGTACGAAAACACGAAAAAAAAGTAAAATAAAAAATAAGCAATCATAAGGTTTAATAATATTAGTACTTGTTTGTTTGTAATTAAGCACAAAGCTACACAATGAGCTATTTGTGCTCTGCCCACCATGGGTATTGAATCCCGATTTCTAGCATTGTAAGTCCGCAGACATACCGCTGTGCCACTTGGGGGCTAAAGTCTGTTGTTTTACCAAAGTATCTGTCAAAAACACATACAAGTTGAACTGAAAGTCTGTTGTTTTATTATGATATATTATTTAAACCCAATATTCAACTACTGTTTCAATCAATGTACTATAACCTATAAGTAGAAGAACACTAAAATATAAAGAGAACATTCTAGTTGATTCATTAATCTGTTCAGTGATAATGTAAAATCAGATACAAAAACAGTCTTATAAATACAAAGTAAGCCTACACAAACGTGGTATACTAACCAAGTTTTTGTTTATTTTCTTGCATTTCCTTTTTTAACTCCATAGCATCTGAATACATCTTTGCCAACTTTCGCCGGGTCTCAAGCAGTGAAGGCTCTCGACCCAAGTTGAACTCAGAAAGGCTTTTGTTACTGGCCAGCAGAATTTCCCTCTCTGCCTTGATATTCTTCACCTACACATACACATGAAATCTTGACAAAGCACTTCAGATCCAGCTTTACAAACAAAGCAGATGTCCAAACCTGAGGAATATATGTTTAGTTTTCATTTGGCTGTGCATCTTAAATAACACACGATTTTTTAGCAAACTCTTGAGTAACCTTTCAAAACATTATGTTCACTTACTCAAGAGTTGTGAGTTAACTTTTTTTAAAACAAGCTGTGTATTGATAATGATAATATAGTATTAACTGAAAGGAGCTCACTGCTGTGTTTGGGATAACACAGTTTAAACTGCAGGGTGCTCACAGCTGCATTTTTGGTAACATAGTTTGAACTGTAAAGATTTCTGTAAGTTTCTAAAATACTGGCTCAAAGTTTATGTACTTCTAGTTTAAAGAAACAGCAAGGTCAGAAGTAAGCAACTGGTGATCAAATTTCATCTTTCCACGCATCCAACTAAGTGTAGTAAATCAAATCTACATAACCTTAACACTAAAAGAAATTGATTTAATGATACAACTATAAAAAACTGTTTTGTGAAAGCGAGTTTTACAATCATTGTTACTATCAATTATCTAAATGATCATGAAATTATTTAATGTTTTGATGAAACAAAGCCGCCTTGGAAAGCTCATACTATGAAAAATGTTATTTTGGTTCAGAAAAATATCAAAGTTTAACAATAGCTCAAAAAAAATAAAATATATTTCAACATAGATATACATAAAGTTTGTTTTTTGTTGTTAAGCACAAAGTTACTCTATAGGCTATCTGTGATGTGCCCACCACAAAAACCATAACCTGATTTTTAGTGTTATAAGCCTAAGCCCTAAGACTTACCAATGAGCCACTAGTTTAAAGTAGTTCAATAAGGATTTAAAAACAAAGACAAAAATAAAAGGAGACTGGAATATCCTTGTTGCACCGATTTTACCACAATGATCACATCATCAAGCATTAGTTGTTTTTCAGGTTCATAACAGGAAGTGTTAATTGAAATTAGGGATGCATAGGTAGTAAAATTTGGCTGAATACTAGGTCCGGGTACCCATCCACAACTTCGGGCAGGGCCAAGTGTCAACCAAGACCGGGTTTCTCTGCTTGACCCCCACAAAAAAAAAAAAAAACATACAGAGAAATTAGAAACAAAACAAAATTGATATTTATTACATTTAACCAAATAATCACCAACAGAGCATTCAAGTTTTACTTTCAACTTTCAATGCCTAGCCCCAACTTCTCAAACCCTAACCCCTATTGTTATCAAAACCCCCATCTTCCCCAGAAATTCACTTCTCAAGCCATGCCTGTTATTAACCCTTCTGTTTTCTGAATTCCCGACTTTCAGCAGGTGGTCAGTCTTTGTTGTTCAGAACACGTTTTTTTAACTAAACCATTTACTGACTGTAACTTTCAGTACTGTGTAAGTTGCCACAAAGATTAGGGCTTAGATGCCATTTTCAATTACCCGGATTTGGCTGTTTATAACTTCGACACTTGACAGGAGCTGGGTATTACCCGGCTGGGGCCGAATATCTAACTGGGTACCTGTGCATCCCTAATTGAAATAGAAACTTGCAGATGATATACTTCCACTACATACAAAATGTTTGTTAGCAAATGGTTTAATGTTATTGTTAACAAACATATTAAGTGTCACAGCATTATTCTATTGAATTGCTACCACCAGAAAAAATAATTTTTGTGTATAAGGGGAAGAAAATTGAAATTAAAAAAAAAAGTAAAACTATGTGTGTAAGAAAAATATTCTTATCGTAAAGACAGAACAGGGCTTGAGTGTGTAAGAATAATGTTAGTATTGTACACACTGAAGACTAGTGTGTAACAAGAATGGTGGTGTTATAAAGACAGAGGGAGGATTGAGTATGTGTAAGAAAAATGTTGATATACTAAAAACATGAGAGCTTAAGTGTGTAAAAAGAATTTTGTTATGGTAAAGACAGAGAATGGTTTGATGTGTAAGACGTATGTTGGTACTGTAAAAAAGGAGGGTTTAAGTGTGTAAGAAAAAGGTTTTTACTGTAAAGAAAGGAGGGCTGGAGTGTGTAAAAATAAGATTGGTACTATAAAATCAGAGAAAGCTTTGAGTGTGTAAGAAAAATATTGGTACTGTAAAAACAGAAGAGTTTGAGTGTGTATGAAGGACATTGGTATTTTAAACACAGAAGAGGGTTTGAGTATTTAAAAATGTTAGTACTGTAAATACTGATGATGTCATAAGTGTGTAAGAAAAATGTTAGTATTGTAAAGACAAGGGGACTCTCGAGTGTGTATGAAGAATGTTGATATTGTAAATACAAGGAAGGGCTTCAGTATGTAAGAAGTTTGGTATTGTAAAGAGAGGGTTTGAATGTGTAAGAAGAATGTTGGTATTGTAAAGGAAGGGGGGCTGGAGTGTGTAATAAGAATGTTGGTACTGTAAAATCGGAGAAGGATTTCAGAGTGTAGGAAGAATTTTGCATTGTAAAGACTGAGGAGGGCTTGAGTGTTTAAGAAGAATGTTAGTACTGTAAAGATAGAGGACTTCAGTGTGTATGAATAATGGTGGTAATGTAAGGACAGGAGAGGGTTTGAGTGTGTAATAAGGTTAACAAGACTGATACCAAGGTTAGAAAGTTTGGGTTGTGAAGTTTTGAATTAGTAGGAGCTCAGACTACACTGAAAATACTTTGTGATTGTGAATGCATAGTTTGAACTGGTGACTTTAAAGATTAAAAATAACAATACAAGCTTTTGAATACCTGGATCTAGATTTTTCTTGGGTATAATAATATATTTCAAAAGTGTTAGTTTGTAACATAGTTTGTTGTATGATATACTACTTGCTAACTTGTTTTTAAGAGTACATTTAAATGGGTGGATATTAGTTTCATTTGTAGTAAAAAGAGGGTGACCTCAATGTTATGGAGCTTGATCTTGGTGAGTGACTAAATTCTAAACTTTACTGACCACAAACAAAAATGTAATAATGGTAATTTCTATACCTACAAAACTTTACCTGCTCTAAATTGTTAATCATTCTATCCACTTCCAGGTCCTCATTTAGCAGTCGTTTCAGTTCATCAGTATTGGAGTGCTGCAAAAGAACTGATGCTACCGTGTAGTCAGGATGGACTTCGTTCATATAGTAGGTCATGCTGTTTTCAAATATCCAAATAGATTTTATAGAAGAATGATATAAAAGAAGGAGAATAGTCTCACATTAACATTATTTTAGTATACAACATAAAATACATGGACCTATCAGTGTTCAGTTTGTATACTTTTGTGTCCTCAAGCAGTTTACTTTCACAAATTTGTATTTCTGTCTGCTCATGCTGATATTCAGAATTGTTAGGATCCAAGAAATGCTTTGATATGATATTAATATTTTCCTTACCTGAAAATGTATTTCTGATAGATACCTACCCCTCTGCACACAGTAGATATTCCTTGCGTGTTTGACTTAGAGATATTATGCATGCTAATAGCCTTGATGTATCTCCCACCTAAGACACATGGTTTAACATGAGCTGCATTAGTGCATGATGTAATCATCATGCAACAATAGGAGGATGACACATTCTTCATGTGCAGTAGATCCCCATAAGCACTTGCACTCACACTATAATTGGGGCTCACTAGAGTTGCAACATTAATGGGAGACCAAATCCATCTCATGGATGGAAGTAGGAAAAAAGGAAGGTAAAGATGTCAATGTGTTGCAGAGATGGGTGGAAAAGTGCTGACCAACCGAGCATATGCACATAACATGTTAATTAGATATGAGATGTAGTGTGTATCAGTTACTCACTTTACATACATTAATGAGGAGAAAGGTCTCTTCTCATCACAGGAGAACACTTTGCCCCCATCTGACTGGCCAAACCATCAGGAAGTTGGCAAATCATATGGGAGGCATCCAATGCATAAATATCAGATCTCCAACAACCACAAGCAAGAAGGAAAAGGAAGGAAGCCAATGGTTCAAATGAGGCCTGGATAAGAGCATAAAGAACCAATTTAAGGTTCCAGTTGAGCAAATGAGTAGGAAAAATGAGGTGATGAACAAGGAAGGACTGGGAAAAGGTGGAAAGAAAAGTGGAAGAAAAGACAGAACCATAGCACAAAAAAAAAGTCAAAAGGCAGTCAACAAGGCCACATAATAGCCTGCAGGTCAAGAAGACCAATTGGTGTGTAACAGTAGGACATCCTGGTGGAATAGAATGGCAGATGGACCACTTTTATTGATAGACAGAGAAGGGCAACAGGAACAAGACAAAAAAAGTGTCACATGATCAGGAAAAACTGACCAACAAGCAAGGGACCAGACAAATCCCACACATGAAGATGAAGAGATGACACTCCCGGGTGAGAGAGATATATGTAAGGTTGTAACATGAGTGAACAGGACTGAGGCAGAGGTGCTCTGGATGCCAATCATTGAAGAATTAGGAACCACACACGCTGGTCAACAGGGGGTTACCAACTGGATCCAACAAGGAGTGTTTCAAATCAAAGCCAAAACAAATGGGAAAAGGCAAAGAGAAGGTTAAATTTACTGAAAAAAATGAGAGTTCTAATTGAAAGTATCTACAGCAAGAGCAGTCAGATGAGATGCTGGTGACCAGAAGAGTGAAAGTTTGGTATCAAGGAGTGGTAAAAAACATCAATCATTGGCATTGCCAACTAGAAACAGATCCAACAAAAACCCGAAGATGGAATGACCACTCCATAGAAAAAATCCTGTCTGACTGAGAGAAATGATTCACCATCAAGTTCAAAGACCCCAGGACATGATAGGTGGTTAGATGAACCCAACATAAGTGAGCCCAAAAGAGAAAGTCTAACATGTGGAAGCAAAGGTCCCTGGAGCAAGTCCTACCCTGATGATTGATATGAATAATAACCATAGAATTGTTGGACTGGATAATAACCAAGTGATCCAGAAGTCAAGGCAGGAAATAGGAATACACAGTCTATGTGCATGTTCACACAGTGGTATTATGACTTACAGGTGCAAATGGAGCAAGCACCATGGAACTGCATTAATATGTAAATGTAATAATCACTCTTCTACTATGTAGATGGTAACACACCATGGACCCTGGACTTTGCTTTTTCTTATTTTCATTAATGATAGTAATAGGTAATTAGTAAAATGGGCTGATTTCAGTAAACATTTGAATATTTATAACTTTGATCAATGGGTAAGCTGAAAAAAAAAGTCAGTAAATTACTTTTAATTATCATGGATGCCAAACAATGCATATGGGTTTTCAACTTGGGTCACATGTTTAATATAGATAGAAACCCACTCAATAGTGTGACTGAATGAAAAATCCATAGTGGCTTTCATTTATATTTCACAAAATGCTTTTGTAAAGCTTTTTTTTTTTATCAGACTCTAGATTTTTTCCCACTACAGAAGTAAGAATGTGGATTATAATTTCCAGAACAACTCTCAACGCCCCTTTATAAATAGGAGTAACAGTAGAAACTCTCCAATCCTCAGGCACCTGCCCATTGTCTGTGACCTACCAAAAATGAAAGAGAGAGACTCACCTACTTGATCTTTAAACTTCTTTAAAACCATGGAAAAAGCATTGTCTGGTCCTAGTGCATTATCTACTTTTAATCTCTTTAATCTTTCTACTTACCACTAAGGGATAGATATCAACATGATTCAGGTCAATTCCAATATTTCTCAGGGTCAGGAATATTGCTAATATATTTTTTTCTAAAAACAGAATAGAAAGCTTAAAAGCTCACCCATTTCATAGTCTTAAAAATAACAATGCTATCAGCACCTTTTAAGTGCCAAATTCCCACTTCAACATTTTACTTACATTTAACACACCTAAAAAATCCACACTGTTAGTTTTAACATTATCAATCAACTACCTCTCCTAAGCAATTATGGATTTCCTAACTTATTTTTTAACCAAATCTCTAGCTTTCCTATAGTTCTATAAATTTTCCATCTTGTCAGTTTAAACTTCTTAAACATCAAGCATTTATTTCCCATTTTCTCCTTTATGTCTTTAATAAGCTAATTGGTTTCATCTTCCCTGATATTTTTTTTAAGAACATGTTTGTCTTGAATTAACAGCAATTTATTTTTATATACTTCCCATACCTGTTCAATACTACATTTACCTCATTGTCCCAATTCATTACTAATTAATCATGGCCTCAAAGTTAGCTTCCTGAAAAATAATAATTAAATTTCATTTTTTTTATCTCAACATGTAGCAAAACATCAAACCTAATCCCCTCTCTATACAAATCTCTAGTTAGGTCTCACTTGGAATTTGGATTACAATGTAGAGTTTTGATCTCCTTATCCAAGACAGGATATTTATTTTAAAATTAGGATACTAGGTTGATTCCCGGGATGGAAGGATTATCTTATAAGGATAAGTTAAGGACTCTTATTTTCTTTGCATAAAAGATGGATATCAGTTTATGAGCTGATCTTATTGTAGTTGATGAATATTATTTTGTAGATAGATAGGATAAGAGCTTCTGATGTCTTTGTGCTGTATTCTGAAGGTAATAGAACATAATATTTAACATTCGGAAAGACAGGCTCAGCACTAGTTAACAGTTTTTTTTCTAACAATGTGACTGACTTATGAAATACGTTGGCACTGTACACGTTTATGAGGGGACAACAAGGTTCCCTTATAAATAAATTTTTAATTTATCTGAGGAATATATGTACATAAACAACCTCAAAGAAGTGAATGATCCCATGTTATGTTACTGTTTCACAATCTACAGAAAAATACAATACAAATGTATTAAATTATTAAGAAAAGGCCTATATGTTTAAGATTAAACAATGTCACATACATATACATACATTAATATTACCTTCCAATCATACTAGCAAGCTATGTACTTAGAAGTTAGATAGCAAAACTAAAAATCAATATGGCAATCAGTATAGTTTACTGTTTCTCCTCTTGACACATACAATTTTCAGGAAATTATTCATTTAAAAACTAATGTGATTAAACACAGAAACACGAGTATCCAATTTCAGATGTTTATATTAAAAACCTAAAATTGGTTTAAGAAAATCAAAATCTTCAAATAAATCTACCGCTATATTTCTTACTCAAGTTACTGCCATAGACAACGAATCAAACCTGACGACTATTAAACTTTAAAAATTAAATTACTGTTATTAGAAATTGAATCCATAGAATAAATTAGTAAAAACCCATCTCTAATGTTACCGACGTATTGTATGAAGGTATCGTCTACCAAAGTTGGATATAATTTATAAATCATAAAATATTGCCGTCTAAACTTTACCTATTTAAGTTGTTGTTGTTTTTTCAGATTGGTGTTTTTGATGGATTATAATTCCCTTCAACCAAATTCCTCACGCCAAATCATAAATTCAAAAAGCTCTCACAAACAATTTTTTTTTCAACTTCCTAATAAATTTCTATTCCATAAATCATATACTCAAGTGTTACTGTTATGTCATCTAGTAACAGGAGACTCATCGATTCTTCAAATTTCCTCATAGATAGCGGTAATGTCAAGCTATGAAAATGTCATAGATTCGGTTTTTGTAGGATTTTGCGTAAAGCTACTCGAGCGTTATCTGCTCTATCCGTCCTTAATTTTGAAATAATAGAAAGAAAAAAAAGCAGCTTGTCAATACCACCTACCATCAACTTTTAGCCCACTTTATCTGCTCTATCCGTCTTTAATTTTGAAATAATAGACTAGAGTGAAAGCAGCTAGTTAATACCACCTACCGTCAACTTTTAGCCCACTTTTTACAACAAAGAGTGCGATTAAGCGTTACATTACAACGCATATACGGCTGAAAGAGCTAGCAGGTTCGGTAACAGTATTCAAAGTCGCGAGCTACAGATTACGATTTGAGTACCCTAACCATTAGGCCATGCCAGGCCACCACAGATAAGTATCTGCAATCGGTAGGAATCTTAGGTTGGGCACATTACAAAATTCAACGTTGACATTCAGCGTCATGGTGCCCTGTTCCTATAACCAACTTGACTCTGGGTGTTGCTTCCGCGTTGGTTCAACACACTCAACGGCCCGAAGGAAATGTTGCGTCAG